AAAAGAAAACGATGACGAGATGGACCGATGCGTGAAACCAAGCGACGCCCAACTGCCGCGGGAGAAAGGTTGGGAAAGGCAGGACGGAGATATACAGAGGTTTACATGCTTAGTTCATGTCTCTCTGTGTGTGCGTAGATGTTGATGCCGCTGCTGCTGGTCTCTACTGTCAGCACGACGCCGTGGCGTTTTCCGTCAAAACGCATCGTCGTACTGCGCTGCGGGAGGGATGGGGCAAAGTGGGTTTCCGCGCCCCATCGCCGCACAGCAGCAGCAGCAGCAGCAGCAAAGAAGGGAAGGAAAAAAGCACGAGCACTTTCCCTTCCCGCTTGATGGCTGAAAGGCACGAGGCGAAGTAGAGAGCCGCCGCACTCGCACGCACGCGACTTGTGGATGGTGAGTCGTGGGGTGCCTTGTCTTCCGCTTCCGCAAAGAGGGACAGACACACACACACGTTCTGCCTCGCTTCACCCTTGGGCTTCTGTGGGCACGCCCCACCTCACACCCGAATTGTTGTATTTTCTGTTTTTTCTCTTGTACCCCTCCCCTCCTTTCCCCTTTCTTGCCCCTGCAGTATCTGCAGTGTTGGCAAACGAGCAGAGGAAGAGCGGGCGTGGGCCGTCGGAGCAGCAATGAATCCAACGGGGGAGGTGATTTACGACACTATGACGGCGCAGTCGCGGCAGGATGTGACGCAGCCGCACTACGTCTCCTGGGAGCCGGATGGGCGCTACTTTCGTCAGGAGAAGGTGGGGGAAGGTTCCTACGGGGTTGTGTACAAGTGCCTTGACCGACAGACGGGCCGCATCGTCGCCGCGAAGCGGATCTCGCTGAGGCTGAGGGATGAGGGGGTGCCCGCAACCGCGGTGCGGGAGGTGTCACTCCTGCGGGAGCTGGACCACCCGTACGTGGTGCGGCTCCTGGACGTCTCCCTCCAGGACTACAAGCTGCTCCTCATCTTTGAGTACATGGAGAAGGACCTGCAGGGGTTCATCAAGCAGCGCGCCACCCCGCTCGTGGGAGGGAAGCTGCAGCGCATTATGTTTCAGTTGTTGCTGGGATTGCACGCCTGTCATAGCCGCCGCTTTGTGCACCGTGACATCAAGCCGAGTAATATACTCATCAGCCGGGACGAGTCTGTGGTGAAGCTGGCGGACTTTGGCCTGGGCCGCGCCTTCCGCGTCCCTATGCAGACCTACACGACGGAGGTGATGACGCTGTGGTACCGGGCGCCGGAGGTCCTCCTCGGCGACAAACACTACCTCCCCGCCGTCGATATGTGGTCGATTGGGTGCGTCATGGCGGAGCTCGCCAAGGGGACCCCCCTCTTCGCCTCGGAAAACGGCATCTGTCAGCTGTTCACCATCTTCAAGGTGCTCGGCACCCCGTCGGAGGCGACGTGGCCCGGCGTGTCGTCGCTGATGCACTACAACGTCTCCTTCCCCCAGTGGCGGCCCATCCCGCTTGGCAGCGTCATTCCGACGCTGGACGCCGACGGGATCGATCTGCTGCAGCGCATGCTGCACTACAGCCCACGCCAGCGCATCACCGCCTACGAGGCGCTCCGCCACTGCTGGTTTGACGACGTGCGGCGTGAAATGAGTGAGGAGGGCGCTCTCTAGCGCCGGAGTTTGGACCGCAGAGAGGCCGGCCGTGACTGTGCGTGCGTGTGTGTGTGTGTGTACGTATGTCTCTTTCATTGCGGCACGACAACTGGAGAGTTCATATATATGTATATATACTTATATGCGCTGGGTGGGGCGCCCTGCGAGCGGGCGAGGCCGCGGCCAATTTGAGCAAAACACACACATACACACAGGCACGCCAAAACAAAAAGCAACGGGGCTAGACAACTTGCCTGTTTCTGTGGTGGTGCTTTGGCGTAACTCAGCGACGAGCCACGCGGCCAGCGCGGTGCTGTGACGACCGTTGCCCTCCCGCGTCGCTGCCGCGTCTCATACGCGTATTTGTACGCCTCCCTGCCTCGATACGCGCCTGGGCCGCGCCGACAACTCAAGCAGCCAACACGCACCTGCGTGTATACGTACATACATATACATAAATAATAACGTGGCGCTGAGGAGGTCTGCATAGATGAGGCGATGAGGAGGGTGAACTCCGTTGATGGGCACGTCTTCTCCCAGAGGCATTGCACAGAGATAAAACTGAAAAAGGGAGGGGAGGAGAAGAAAAAAAAAAGAAACGATGACGAGGTGGACCGATGCGTGAAACCAAGCGACGCCCAACTGCCGCGGGAGAAGGGTTGGGAAAGGCAGGATGGAGATATACAGAGGTTTACATGCTTAGTTCATGTCTCTCTGTGTGTGCGTAGATGTTGATGCCGCTGCTGCTGGTCTCTACTGTCAGCACGACGCCGTGGCGTTTTCCGTCAAAACGCATCGTCGTACTGCGCTGCGGGAGGGATGGAGCAAAGTGGGTTTCCGCGCCCCATCGCCGCGCAGCAGCAGCAGCAGCAGCAAAGAAGGGAAGGAAAAAAGCACGAGCACTTTCCCTTCCCGCTTGACGACTGAAAGGCACGAGGCGAAGTAGAGAGCCGCTACACTCGCACGCACGCGACTTGTGGATGGTGAGTCGTGGGGTGCCTTGTCTTCCGCTTCCGCAAAGAGGGACAGACAGACAGACAGACAGACAGACAGACAGACAGAGATAGAGAGAAGGGGGGCTGGATGCGGAAAATGCGACTTGCGTCCTCCTCCCATTGGTGTGTGTGCGTGTGTGAGAGAGAGGGCAGGAGGAGCGAAGGAAGACGAGGCGGAAATCGTAAAATATTTAAGCAGGGCATGAGTACAAAAAAAAAGCAGAAAA